TTGCCTTACCACCTGGGTCTCCCTGAGTGACCAGAACCAGGGGCTCTGCATGTACAATGGGCTGGAGAATGAATGTTGAGATCCAGATAGGGTACCCCCGGGGGCTGTGGGACACAGGGTGGACCCTCAGCCTCTCTGGTCTAGGGCACAAGTGACCATACCTGGCACTTGGCGTTCTCCACCTCGGCCGTCAGCCTCTGGATCATGCGGTTCAGCTCGTTGATCTCCTCCTTGGTGCGGCGCAGGGTCTCCCCGTGCCTGATCACCGTGGCCTTCATCTCCTCGCACTGTGGGAAGCAGAGATGCTCATGAGGATAAGGACGGGACATGTCGTCCATTCAGGACACCAGGGATGATTGTGCAGGTTGTGCAGTGCTCAGCCTGTGCCACCACACATGGCAGTCCTGCCCTGCCACCCCAACCTCAGAGAGGCACTTGTTTTCTTACTGTCCTTAGGGATCAGAATCCCTAGACTAGAGAAGCCTTTTCTCAGAGATACCTGCTTTCCCTCCCACTGCCGAGTCTAGGAGGCAGGTGTCCTGTGCCACTCACCTTGCTGCGGTACCAGGACTCGGCCTCAGCCCGGCTGCGGCTGGCGATGTCATCGTACTGAGCCTTGATCTCGGCAATGACGCAGTCCATGTTCAGGTCCCGGCTATTGTCCATCTTGATGACAACCGAGGTGTCTGAGATGTGGGCGTTGAGAATGCGGATCTCCTGCAGGAGGTCAGGGAGTGGTAAGAGCTTCTTAGACCAGGGCCCCTCTCTTAGCAGCCCACCCTCCCACGGTCATTCCCTATCCCCTGCCCCTGCTTCCTCCAAGAGCCCCGCTGTCTGAAGCCCCCTGTCCAAGTTGCCGTCTTCCCCATCGGCCCAGGGCCCTCTCCTTGCTCCTGAGGCCAGGGGCTGGAGGCTGGGAGGAGGAGGTAGAGAGTCCACGTCTGAGGCTCCAACTGGAACCTTTGGGTGTAGGACCAGAGTTCACCAACCTGGGATAATTGTCACCATAGTGGGCATGGCAGGTGAGAGGTCTAGCTACACTTCTTCACCGTCTCACAGTAAACCTGCCTTGGATCTCTCAACTCTGCTCTGTATTCCCCCCACCCCACCATGGGCTTCAGAAGCTGAAATGGTGGCAGGTCCTTTCCAGTGTCTAAGTCACACCCTCCTTGCTGCCCCTCTGCTCTGGGGCCCCTCACCTCCTCATATAATCGCCTTAAGAAGTCGATCTCCTGGGTCAGGGCCTCCACGTTGGCCTCCAGGTCAGATTTGCGTAGGTAGGCACAGTCCACGTCCTAAAGGGGAGAAGATGGCATAGGGTCTCACTGGGGGACAACACAGAGCTTTTGGTTTTTCCCTACCAGGGAGGCACACCCCGTCAGGCTAAGCAAATTCCCTGGAAACCCTCTTAGATGCCCATCCCAGCACCTGGTGTCATGGTGTGGTGAAGCCCTCCAAGCCGTCAGTGGGGTAAGGAGCAGGTTTGGGTAAAGAAGGGGGACCGCAAGGTTTCTAGGAAATTCCTCTGTACCCACTGAGACGATTCCTCTAGAATCCACATCTTGCATCTATCACCAAAACTTAGGATCTAGTATAAAATGGGTCAGTTCTAATGATGCCCCACTCCTCTCTGCTCTCATGGAAGGAAAGCTAGATCTGTGGTCAGAAAAAGAGGGTGCAGGGATCGACTCTGTCCCTTCTAAGCCAGTGTGACGCAGAGCAG